ATAATTTAGTGGCTGGTTGTTGCTAGATCACTTGGAGTTCGGGATCACTAAAGCCTCGGGGATCTGCATTAATTGATAGACTCATCTGTATATGTAAACTAAGTTGACGGAGTATTATATATTATTAATTTATATTGAGAAGAGAGTTCGATATCACATACAACTATCAATAAATTCTTGTCCTAGATTGCTCACTTGTTCTTCGAGATAATTCCTCCTAGAAATCCTTGACAATTTCTAACATATTAAGCTGTAGGTGTATGGACAGGAAGTATAAGACAAAACCTGTATCCATTTATTGTGGGTACATCTATGAAACTATATACATGCTCGCCTAACCAGTACACTAGTGATGTATGCTGTGGAGGAGGGCAAGACTGAACACCTGTACGCGATGTCCTCTACGGACCTGGGAGTGAAACATTCTCCCAGAGCCAAGTTCAGTCAAATTTCGCAATACCGATCAAGTTGGCCCACGAGGCAATGATTAAAATTACTCCACCACGTCAAATCTTCACTCCCAAAGAGTCCGACTCATACCTAAGCCTCATCAAGTCTACAAGTACGACCTAGTACATCCTCATTCCAATGATCATACCTCTCGTCGACTTTCTCTGGCCTCAGTTCACCACCAAATACACGCCCACGCCAATATTTACACTCGACGGAGGAAGCAAAGCGTGGCGCACAAATCTGGAAGACAATTCCTTGGGATGGATGTGAGAGGTATCAGGACAAGTTGATAAGATGATGCGGAGGATGGATACAGTCTCGAAGGGCGTTGAATTTTGAGTTTTGGAAAAGAATTTTTACAAATTGAGCTTTGTGCGTGCCAAGACTTCGGCTGCGAGAGTGCAGGCGACACTATAAAAACTGACATGGTTGGATGGTGCAGTGGTACATCTTGTTGGCCGATCTCCCAAGTAGAGTCTGGATAGCTTGGACACATATGCCACTCGGGACAGTAGATCGCTAGTTCAAATCCAGCAAAACACAACCACTTTTCTGGCGGCGCTGGTATGTACGGATGACGAAGACATGCTTGGATTACCAAAGGTTTTGAAATTCCCTTTGGTGGGTACTTACGGAGGAGGATCGACTGTTTGTGTAGGCGAACATACCTCATGGTGGTGTTTGTGTTTGTGTTTTATTGTACTACTTGAGTCTATAACTATCTAGCACATTGGGCTCCTCTCTGACCCAGGCTACACCTTGTACCGTGCTCCTTGCCTCTTTTGTTACTTGAAAGATCATTGATATGTTCCCCTTGATGAATAGCCATTCAGCTCAGTGTTTACCCGTGGAATTCTGTCACCTTTTCCACGGAACCTTCTACCCAAAAAAATAAAAATGATAGCAATGGAAACTGCGTGCGCGGGAAAAAGTCTCAAAAAACCTGCAGCCCCAGCCGGGCAAGGCCTAGATACTGGGGTCACATGTGGTGCGCATATTCATCTACATCTCCGTTCTTTATGATATTAGAGATCAGCTCAATTCAATCCACCATCTCCGTATCGGGTGCAGGATACGCTCGGGAAACTCGTCGGATGGCTTTTCCTCAATAATCAAGGGTTGATGATGAGTAGGGCTCCGACCCTACCATCTGATCTGATCGTGGTTAGCTACATGTTGGTGGTGATAGGGGAATGTGTTGAGAGATGAAGACGATACAGATCGCGACGGCGATTGGGAATCCTCTTCGAAGTGAGGACTTTGATACTCAACCTCGGCTCTGCAGACTCTATAGTGAGAGCTGGAGGTTCGTAGGGGACACCACTGACAGGTGTTGAGAATAGTCCCCCCCTCATGGTTGTATTTGCAAATGAAATCCAGAGTATGAGTTTTTCTAACGTCAAAAGAGTCATCCCACATGTATACATAGCACCGGTCATGTGTCATAGCTAGATAGCTGAATACACATTAAATGATTTAAAAAAAAAGTATGCTGTGGCCTTAAGCCACACGCGATGCCCTAGCCTCGACTACCTCGTTGTCTCATATCTTAACAGAAAAGCCTCAGAAGCTCGGGTGACTTTTTGATATTCTACGTGTTAGGCCTGTGGATACCCAGGGTTCTTGCATTAGTACCACATCAGCCCCACAGTTGGAGGCAAGTTCTGGGGCCGCATCGTGAGCAGGGCCACGTCTACTCACATTGATCTGGAAGAAGCAGAGACTTGTAGTCTTCTGTCTTTTTCGACTCCGGTTTCGGTCCCTTGTAGTTGCTCCTCGGGGGTTATCGAAGCAGCAAACCTAGATGCTGAGCTTACTGCTGAAATAGGAGCAGGAATCGGGGCGCTCGAGGGTTGTATCGAAGGAGGCCCAGCGGGGATTTCCGGAGCGGGCGGGGGAGGATTATGAGTCAGCCAGGACTTATGTCCTTCCTGGCGCACTACCCGCATTCTCTCCTTGTCTAATCGAACGAATACCCTGTTAGCTCGGAATGGTTTAGCCGGGCATCCAGTGGAGGAGGCAACGTGCGGGCCAGCACAATTAAGAGCTAGCAAAGACGTATTCCTCACCTTCCAGTTGTTCCGGTGCATGTATGCATGTATAAATCTCGTGTCAGGCAAAGGCCCTACACCCAAGAGGAAAAATGCGGGTGTGTGATTCCTAGAGACTCACTACTACCTATCTGTCCAGCTTTCAAGGCCGATTGATTACATGAAAAGATGAAATAAAGAAGATTGCCTGAACAAAAAACGCCCTGCGCCTTGCCCATATTTGTGCCGGTGTAATCGCTCAGTATTCTCAGTATATCTGGGGTAGGCAAGAAGAATCGCATCCAAATCGACGTCTAAACCAAACACATGCACATCTTCATTTGACGACTTCTCAATCATGCAGCACTCACCATTATCTTCTGAGTCCTCAACATCGATCTAACCACATATCATCTCGCCTCAACGACCGATAAAGACATGACCCTAGATTCTCACAGGAGCTTGCCTCATTCATCACCGGCCATCACTCACTACAAATCTACGACACTACGTATACCCGCAAGGAGGAAATTAAGTCATAATATGCGAAGCTCGGGTCTTGGTTTATGGGGGACTGATGCTTTAATGGGGTTATACATCGTGAAGAAGGACATGCGGCTGAGATTTAGAGCGAGAGGAGGAATAGGTCTCTGAAGACCATGCTGGGACTGACATTTTCGAGGGTTTTTCAACTTTGGAATGTTTGCGGGCGCCAAGACCAAGATTTTGACTAATTAGCCAGGAGGGCTTCTATTGTCGATGAGTCAACGGCACTTCCCAGCGCCCCGAACGGTACAAAAGAAGCTAGGCTAAGCTACTATACAGCAATCACGCTCTGTCAAGACTTTTCTGACATTTCAGCACGACCTTCTGGATGGAGTTGGAAGGAGGCTAGAAAGGCAGAGTGTGAATTCTCCGAGGTACCTACAAGTCTGCAGCGCCCAGCTGGCCGGCCTCTTCGAGCGCTTCAGAAGAGGCACTATGCCTTCGGATCTAGTCTTACTCTCGGTATTACAAGAGCCCCGCAGCCAGTAGTTTTTGCGATTTTCCCCGGCTGCCATGCACCCGCAAATAGCCGTCGTTCCGTTGGCTGGAGAGGGGAGATAAAAAAGGGCATAGAGCTCCTCTAAGTGTATGATTGAATGAGGACTTGTGAGGGGTGGTACTGTTTGAGGGGAGTTGTATGGGAGGCATAGCAGGGGATATACTACTGGTATAGGTATCCTTGGCCTGTAGGCAGAGAGGAGCTGCAATTCCTACTTTGTTATAGACTTAGACATGACAAAAAAATGAAATAATCCAAAATAGTATTGCAATACAGATGATAAGTGAGCATATCGGCCTCAACTCTTATCTTTATAAAAGAAAGGTACCCGGAGTGGCAAATCCAAAGTGCCAGTGTGGATATCCGTCACAAAACGTGAAACATATGGTCATGGCTCTTCCTCAATGGGCTAAGGGAAGAGGAGAGGTGCCGCAACGGGCAAAAGATAGGTCTTTCGAAGCTATGATGAACATCCCGGAAGACATGAAGAGAATTATGGAGTGGATACTTACAAACGGCTGGCTTGAACAGTTCCGGCTAGCAGAATAAGTTGAGACAGCAGTCAGCGAAAGGCTTGAGCGATCTGGAAAAGGACATGACGGTGTCCACACTGGACGTACAGTGTAAACGCGCTTCCTGTAGGAAACATCTGAAAATAAATAGACGAGACAGACAGTAGTGGGGGGTTTTTACCGAATTTGGTTTCCTCCTGTGTAACCTTGATTGCTAATATACCTGCATGGGCCCATAGGGTACCTGAACAGGCTAAATGAATTCAAATCAAAAAAGTTGAAATAGTAAAAAACCAACAATTACAACTCATTGACCTTGCAGGAGCGTGCACAAGTTATGGTACCGAAATTCGCAGATAGTTATATTTCCGACGCATGAGGTTTGATCTAAATGTTTGAGCGCATTTATTTTACTCATGTCCATTGTCAAACGATATCACTGTCAAATCCAATTGTTTGCATATATGTCTTTCTGATTTTTTGTAGGTGCGCGAGGAGCCGCTCTTGTGTAGGCATTTGTGACGAAGAGCGGACTATGATGGCCCATTTTTTATTGCAGAAACTAAAATATGGAAAGTCCATGAGTTTAGTTAATTTTTACAGTCTCCATTAAATCTCGTCACAATACGTGATGAGAAAGAATAGCCTTCCGAAGAAGATCTCACTTTCTTTACCATAGAAGGTTGAGTGACTGTTGCATGTACTGCGTGAGGAAATTGATAATTTGAACATGAAATTGTGACCTACATTTAAGTCTTCTTGATTAATTTGTGATGATTGATAGGCATCATTGGTCAAGTAAAGGCGATGCAAGCCGACGAGAACTTATACGTGAGTGTTCGTGTCTTATAACTAGACCAAATTAGGAATAGGTTATTTTTTCGAGCAACAATCACTTCATCAAATTTCCCTGTCGCGGTTATCTATCCAATCTAAGCGGCTATCATTTTTTTTGCAAATATGGTAGGAAAGAAGAAGCGGAATCATCCAGATATTGAAGAGCTGCTCGCTCGACCCTGGTGTTATTACTGTGAGATCTTTAAATGAACCAAAGAGACTTGCTGACAGATATTACAGGTGAGCGCGATTTCGATGACTTGAAAATCCTCATTTCTCATCAGAAAGCTAAACACTTCAAGTGCGAAAGATGTGGTCGCAGACTGAACACCGCTGGAGGTCTGGCTCTCACCCTAACAACCCCTGATAGCTCTACTAACTAAACCTCAGGTTTATCAGTACACATGAACCAAGTTCACAAAGAAACCCTGACAAATGTCGATAACTCACTACCAAATCGTCAGGGACTTGAGAATGAAATTTTCGGTATGGAGGGGATTCCAGAGGATATTGTTCAAGCACATAGCCAGCGTATAATTGCAGTTTATTATCAAGCAGAAGCAGAACGCCGAGCTGTAACTGGTAATCCCGGACCTGGTGGTGCTGCAAGTGCAAGCGGTCAACCTAAGAAGCCAAAGCTCGAATCACCTGCTGAGCTAAAGAAAAGACTTGCCGAACATAAAGCCCGAAAGGCAGAACAAGCAGCATCCGGAGCTTCGAACATTGGTGGTAACCTAGAACAAAATAGTCCCATGAGCACATTTGTTTGTATCTGTCCCTCACTCTTTCAAATCACTAATACTGGCTAGAACCCCCCACCCGCACAATCACAGGCAGGATTCAGTGGACAACAGAGCTCAAATTTTGGACCATTCCCGTCAGAGTCTTTCGTGCCGCCTACGGCATCATACCAACCGCAATTCTCCCAGCAACCTACTTTCTCCGGACCACCTGGCGCTTCTTATCAGCCACAATATTCCCCACCACAACAGTATTCTACCCAACAACCCTTTACCTCCAGCTTTTCACCCGCACAAACCTACCCTACCGCTCCCCAGTTTAGTGGCGCTGTCTCATCGAGTAATACATTTAACAGCTACCAGTCTCCCTCACTGCAATCGGCTCCGCAACACGGAGGTCTCCCTAGCCGCCCTCCAAGCCTTCCACTGGCTCCAGGACTTCCGCAGCGACCTAGTTTTGGTGCTCCGGCGGTACCGTCCTACCAGATGCAACAACTACATCAAGGACCACCTCAGGGCGGCTGGAGTGGAAATGGCTGGAAAGGTCAAGACCAAAAACTGTCCATACCATCTACCTATCACTCTCATTCCCAAGGCTACGTAGGAGATCTATCCACCAATGCATCCTCGTTGGAAGACTTGGTCTCATGTGCTGCCCGAGAGGCGGATGATATCGACCACATGATCAGAATGGCTGAAGCGGGAATTAAACCTTCAAAGGTACTGGAAACTGCACCTACCGAACCGGCACAAAATAACGTGGAAGACCACCATAAAGAATTACCAGAAGCTGTCGAAAAGACTGATTCTGAAAATAAAAATGAAACAATTGATAAAAAGCAGAAGAAAGAGAAACCAATTAAAATGATCTACTCGGACAATATACTAAGTCCAGAAGAAAGAATGGCCAAGATGCCGAGGTACGCATTCGTCCCAGATGAGAAAACTAAATCATCATCTTTCGATACAGCTATGGTACCTGTCGATACTACTACAGGAGCCGCACCAGAAATATAGTTTACTCTAACATCTCGACGCGTCCGTAACATGCTCTCAAATATTAACGACTGCCTCAACCGATTATCGGCGATGAACACAATCCAGTTTTTTAAACAGTAGAGCTTCCCTAAAATATTTTCCTCACACTCTAGGCAAAAGGCTGAAATTTTAATTGCACTGATCCCAGTTAGCAAGCAGAGCTAAGTCACTGACCAAATGATGTTTTGCTTTCTTTGTTACTCAGCCAGCAGGTACTCCAAGCAACCCTCAACTCCGAGGCTATCGGTCCATCTTTCAATGGTAAGTCCGATTCGCGCTGGTTTGGACTAATGGGCAGCTGGAAGCATAAAAGTTATCATTATAAACCGAAGAAAATCGTAGGCAATCTGTTCTCGATAATATATTATCAGTCTTGTAAGTACGAAAAAGGTTAGCCTAATTCCATAAACTACATCATGTTTATCGAGATTCATTTACGACAAAAATCAATGGACTAAGATTGATTCATCTTGTCTTTGAGAATTGCTAGTGAAAAACAAGGTAAACAAGATAACTTTCATATTTCGCTACTTAGCTTAGATAGCAAAAGAAGTAATAACCACCAGACTTCCATTGCAGATGTTTTACCAAGAGATTTATTTTATACAAACTAACAACAAGATTGTGAACTATTAACAGTTCGAGATAAGTAACCTAACATAACCCAAAGACTTCACATCCATGTCGCACCAAATGTTGTATTCGAACAAAAATTGTAACAACTTGATGTAGATTGGCATAGTTAACCGTTGCTCATGAGGAAATCAACTTGCCGTTATTTTCATTCGAGAGAACGCATGACGGTATGTAAATTATGAGACATTAAGAAATTTAATTTACCGCATCATTAACCTTGTGATATGGCTTCCAGATATCGAGATGATTTCGAAATGATGTTCTGATGCAGCTTTATTAGCTTTTTAAATGGTATCCAACCAGGATCCCTGTAATAAGAGTGCACTATCCACCGACGTAGAAGGTGACGCGATAGTCAGCTTTCTAGACATTCTCCTATCTTGATATCGTCGTATCGATCCATTAATTGTGACAGTGCTCCAGGCATTTTCATCGAGCCTCATATCCGACAAAAGTACCCAAACATCTTGCTTGACAACATGAGAGACCACCCTAAGTCGCTCGTGCAAATACCTGGCTTTGCCCAGTCTCCAAAATGTGTGGAGATGTGTAATGCCATTTCGAAAAGGAAGATATAAATCCCTACCGTCTCTGCGCTCAATACTGACATGTTCGGGACAATTAAAAATGCTGAAAAAATTTCTCAATCAGTCTCAATCCCCACGGGATTGTAGGGCCATCCAACTCCCTTCCGACTGAGTCAAAACTATCGGGGAAAGCTGCACCAAAAGCAGCTGCAACTAAACGGTACTGCTGTTATGGCCATGCATCATTGAAGAGGTTTCAAGGGGAAGGTTCTCAAGAAAAGGTGATAGGAGAAGGTTTTGAGAAAGGTTTTGGGAGAAGTTTTCCGAGAAAACTCCTACAGTTAGAGATGGAGGGGCTGGCGTCATGACAGCATTTGTCATATTCTTAGTTGAGTTCAAGTACTGCCTCGAGTTAGACTTAAGGAAGCTGGAGCTACCACATAGTAGCTCTCCAGCTTCTCAATCTTTCATTATTTTGATCTTTGAACTCGCAATCTAGCATTTACATAATATTATAATCGTATATTCTCACAGTCCGATATTCTCAGTCTTTCGTTATTCGTTGCATTCTTCGTACTTCTGTTCACCCTGAGGTATCAGCCTTGATCGCCTGCTCGTCAACTCGACTTCTTGACTTCGTGTCTTTCAACTATTCTGTAGTTCTACAACCTTTGACTACCTGGCACCTCGCCAAGCGAATCATATCTAAATATCCTTCGTTAGCAACTGTAATCCCAACAGTTATCAATACCCTACCTTCAGCAGACGGCGATCTCCAGTATCCTTAGTGCACGCCGTAACAACTGCTCTCAATTTGCCACCAAAGCAGACTCCCCCCCGGAGCTTCGAACAATTCTCGAGGCCGAACACCAATGCGTCGCCGAAATAGCGGCAAACCTGACACTCTGCACCTACGCCAACATTGACATCTGAGCAACGCTCCTTTCTTTAACCAACGGGCCAGACAGACAATCGAAGACTGAAGGAGTGTCTACAAACGCGCCGCCATTGCGCAGTGCATGGCTTCGGGGCCTACCACCTCGTCACCCGTCCTTCCTCGTCCAGAAAATCCTCCCCTGAGTGTTCCAGACGATAGGATTCTAAATACACCCGTCGTCTCAGCGCAGCCAACAAAAAGCACCTTGGCTACCGTGGTACGATATGGACTTCGCCAAAATTCTGTGTCGGGAGTGAAAACTGTGCAGTAACCTAAGGCTATAGCTACCAATTAATCAGCTCCGCAGACGAAAGTCGATAAGCTACTATTCCTAAACCTTGAAAGCAACAAACCGTGGTAGAAAAATTCATAAAAGCATATTCAATTCGTATTGGAGTAAAACAAATGCGATATAAAGTTTGCTAACTCAGCACATCGAGTTAAGTCCAGCTTCTATATTCTAGCAAAAGACAATAGACTAGGACAAGGCCTCCTAGATGCCTCCTCGAAATTGGCGGGTTTAAATCCCAAAGTTGAACCTCGCTGTCTTCCAAATCGCTTATGTGCGAATGAAGGTTGATACACGGGTGGTTACTCAAACATTCGATATAGAGTGAGTCTCTGACGAGATTTCTGAAGGGATCCACGAGGAAACAGTCTAGATGCGCCCTATCGCAATTGGCATGTCTTTTTTCCGCTTGAGTTCGCACCTAATACAGTATTCCGTCTTTATGACGATCCTGAAATGGCTACAAAGATTAAGCCTCTCCGCCAAATTTAGCATTCTCAATGCCGCCTCGGCCACCACGTAGATTTCGGTTGTTTCCGCGCCCTAGCTCGCTGGAACTTCGTTTCAATATTGTATTCTGTAGCGGAATGCTAAGCCACCACCAAGTTTAAAAACTAAGGTGGTACCCATCGTTCGGGAAGTCGAGACTTCTTGGCTCGACCAAACCAAACTAGCCCAGTAACCAAGGAGCAATAGGTTACAATTATACGGGTCAGTTAAAGAGAGTTTCCTGTAGGAGCTCGAGCGAAGGCTGTTGCTAAGAAGGCCAAGGCTATAAGTCAACCTGCCTCAAAAGATACGATGATGTCGAGGGGACTAAGCTTTGCGGCATTGACCCTAGAGGAAAAAGCATAAGGTGAAAGGAGGATCTGAAGGGAATCAATAATGGATTCAACAAAGTTTAGAGAGGGATCGATAATTTTGAAGGAAGCCCATCAGTTCATCTCCAGTACAGAGTAGAGATTGAGTAAGTTCGTCAACTGGAAGGTTTGACAGAATAGAACGCGGGAACCACGCTATACTTAAATCAAATGTGAGCAAATAGTTTGTCTTTTTCGATTTGTCTTGGCTCTCTGTTAAAATAGGCTTGATTTAGGTGGCGGTTATGCAGTTGGAATAAGCTGGGCCTGTACGTAGTGTACTTTAAACATTAGTTATCAACTCTAACTCTGTGTTAACGAAACATAAAGTTACTTATTATTTTACATCGTGCCAGCGCACAACACGTTTGCAAGCCGACGTGACGGTTAGCTCAGTCTAGAAAATCTACCCGACGTGCCAACGCTCCCAAGATCCCGGCATATACTAACTGGGCCCCGACCCTCATGCCAGGAGCCCCAAACTTAAAATACATCAAAAGTATTCCTCTGGGACTTCTGTTAACAATAGCGCTGACAGAATGATAATATAAATCTAGATGATGGAGGGGGAGAACGCTCTATCATCGGGATAGATAGGGCTACTAGTAAGTGATTGAGTCCCGCTAAATAGGTAGTTTTTTTGGATTTTAATTGCGTATGCAGCAATCTAGCTATGACACAATATTAAAGAAAAGTACAGAAAAGATGACTCAATGTAAAGGAAGAGCACTTATGCCTCGGATTTCATTGGGAAGTACCACTGCAAAGTTATGGCAGCTCTTTCTTCACCCCAAGTCAGGCTTCATCCGTGAATACTCACCCAGGGAAACATTTCCAAAACCCTGAGTTATCAAGACATGCCTCCATCATCCATTGAATTCTCTCCGCGCGAAAGGTGATCTTAGCCGTCTCCTTCCTAAGTCGAGTATGTGCCCAGGCGACTCGAACCATGCCAGATAACACTACCAAGGGGCCAGCTACGGCACTTTCAATCGTTGCCTTGTCTACAGTATTAGCCGCGCTCTCGCAACCGAAGTCTTGGCGCGTACGAAGCTCAATTTGTAAAATTCCACACCCTTCGAGGTTATATCCTTTCTTTGCATCATCTTTTGAACTTGTCCTAATCACTCTCACGTCTAACCCTGAGAAATGTCACCCAGATTTATGCGCCACACTTGGCTTCCTCTGCAGGTACAAATACAGGCGTTGGCATATATTTGGTGACCAGCTGAGGCCAGAGAAGGTCGACGAGAGGTGTGGTCATTGGAACGAGGCTGACGAGGTCGTACTTGTAAACTTGATGCAGTTTCTGTGGATATCGATCTAGCTGGATGGGAGAGTTTGATTTCGTAGAGAGTCTCGGATCATTACCTCGTGGGCCAACTCCTTTGACATTGCGAAACTTGACTGAACTTGGCTCTGGGAGAAAATTTCACTCTCAGGTGTTCAGTCTTGCCTTCCAGGATTTTCTTTTTATTTTTTTTTTGATTCATATTTGTATTCAGCTATTTAGCTTTGACAAATTCATTACCTTGTGGGCACCAAAAACAAATACATTCTACACGAGGCGAATATGACCAAGATCTGCGTGTTATGATTGAGTTTCAGGTCAAATAACAAAACATTTCGATAAACCCCGTTACGGCTGCTCGTCGTGAAAGAGTACAGGAGGAATTATTGAGGTTTTCCCTTAATACATGGTCTCAGGATCATGGTGAATGCGTTCCTAC